TATTATTATTATTATTATCATTATTATTATAACGTTATAGTTGACACCCTATTGTTTTTGTTGACCCTACTTTTCTACTTACAGAGCTAGTTTACTGTTTTTCTTTGAGATAAAGAAAATATTCAAAAACATTAACCTCCTGATGCCTCAATTAATGTAATTTTATTGGTATCTATTTTTATTTTGAAATTTACCTGCAGCTGCTGCATTTCCCACCCTTTCTTATACTCGAGTCAATAAGTTTTTCCAGGTTTTTGTGTGTGGTAAAATTAGGTACCTCGGCTTATATTCGAGTCGTCTTATACTCAAGTGCGTACAGTAAAAGGATAAGTCATAAAACTAAATCAGGCAAAACAGTGCAGCACCTCCTAACCCATTCTTTAAAACCCATCTGCATTAAAATACTATCTGAATGAATTGTGTTGCTGGCTGAATCCCTGATCTGCTTTCTGACTGACACCTCTACCTTGTCTGGACTTAGTTTAATTTGTTTGTCCCCATCCAGTTCATGACTGATGGCAGACACTGGTTTAGCGTCAGGACAAGACAGCCAACAATACAGCTCACTTCCATGCATGTTTACCATAAAGTAAACCTTTCATTTACTGAAATGGGACTTGCACACTGATGGGGTGGCATCCTTGACTTCTTTGACTGATGTACACCTCTCATTTACCTGACAAATGCTGTCTTTCTTACTTGTCCCAGAACCTCTTCTGGATAAACTTGAGTCCACAGACTGTACATCGGAAGCATCTGCGTCTGCCGCCGCTGACGGACTGTCCGACTGCTTTCCAAAGCTACCCTAAATGGGAAATCAGAGGAATATTTCATACGGGTAAAGTTTTGAAAGGGCACCTACAAGTAAGGATCAACAAAGGAGAAAAATCCGAATATTGATATTCTGGCTCTCATTTTAGGTCCATTGGAGAAAGCATGCTCTATTTCCAATGAAAATCACTATGATGTGCAAGGGGGAAAGGCTCAGAGTCAGTACTAAGAGTAAGGGAAGCCCAATTCCGTAAGGTGTATGTTAGGCAAATGTGCCTCTGCTACCAAGAGTTTTCTATTGTGCCTTTGTATTGTCAAAGGCTTTCATGGCCGGAATCACTGGGCTGTTGTGAGTCTTTCCGGGCCGTATGGCCGTTTCAGAAGCATTCTCTCCTGGTGTTTCACCTGCATCTATGGCAGGCATCCTCAGAGGTTGTGAGGTCTGTGGGAAATTAGGAAAATGGGATTAATCTATCTGTGGAATGATGTCCAGGGTGGGAGAAAGAACTCTTGTCTGTTGGAGGCAGGTGAGAATGCTGCAATTGGCCACCTTGGTTAGCATTGAATTGCCGAGCAGTTTGAAGGTCTGCCTTCTTACTGCCTGGGGGAATTCTTTGTTGGGAGGTGATTAGCTGACCCTGATTGTTTCTTGGCCTATGTGCTTGCTAGAGAATCAAACTGCTGCAGAGCACGGCTTCTGAGAACTTGTAAGTAACCTATGCCTGTTTATTTGTCCTTTGTTGTTATGTATATCTTAAATGTGAGTAATACATACAAATGTTTATCCCCCTTTGAGACATACTCTAGCCACCTTTGTATTTTCCCAATAGATCCACTGTCCCATTGTATAAAACACCCGAGGAGGGATTACTATTGTGAAGAACTTGATGTCTCATATATCCACCTGAGGAAGACTCTAGTCGAAACCGGTCGTGGATGTGGATATCCGTATATAAAGAACCGAAAATTTTCTAAAGCAAGGGATCCTATGCCCTGAAGAGAAGTTGGTTTTACATCAAGAAAGACTCGTTACAATACGCTTACTCTAAAGCAAGGGATCTTATGCCCTGAAGACAAGCTGTCTTTACACCAAAAGACTCTTTATGTTATGTATGTGTAATCTTTGCAAACAACTGGTTGTTGTTCATTATACACTGTGTTATGCCTATACCATATACATTTGTCGTTTGTTGAATATTGTAATATACAAACCGTTAGGCATTGTCATTTATGTACCACAACTTTTAATGGATTTGTGTTTTTTGTTTTTTGTCCTGATTGTTTCTTGTCAGGAATTCCCCTGTTTTGGAGTGTTGTTTTTTATTTACTGTTATGACAAGAAACAATCAGGGCCAGCTAATCACCTCTCAACAAAGGATTCCCCCAAGCAATAAGAAGCCAGACCTTCAAACTGATAGGCATCTCAATGCAAACGGTTTGTAAACAGATATAGACTCCTTATGCTCCGTGGAGTTAATTATAATGCTACTTTGTGCCTACTTTCCCCCTGTCTTCAGTTATCACCTCAAGGCAGCTATCAGTCGGGTTGTCTTGAAGTAACTCATACTTATTTCTGCAAATAAAGTCAGATATGGAATCCTCCTTTGGAGAAACCTCTCCATTCTTTAGCAATCTGCTTGCTTTGCCATTCTGTCTGTCTGGGAGAGTTCGTTCTCTCTTCCTTTTCCCCATTACAAATTAAAAGAGAGAGAACCAATAAGCCTTGTCAGTGATTAAAAACTGCGACCAAAATAATAATAAAATATGGGTAAAAATATGAAAGAGTAAAATATCTTTGTCTCTGCATTTCTTGTTTGTAGAGGGAAAGGACCATCCCATAAAGAAGGGGGGGGGGGAGCCTTTACCTTGCAATAGATATGCTGAGTCTTCTGATAAAAAAGTTCTTCAGGGTTTCAAATTAGCTTAGATAAATTGTCACTCCCTTTCATAGAAGTCAGCAAATTATCTTGTTCACAAACCTCACAACCTCTGAGGATGTCTGCCACAGATGCAGGTGAAATGTCAGGAGAGAATGCTTCTGGAACATGGCCAGACAGCCCAGAAAACACACAATTATCTTGCCTTTGTTTATTTGGGCAATTTTTTCGGGCATATTTTCTATAACCACAAGGCTTATTTTAAAAATGAAACAGCAAACTGAGATTCTTAAAAGGCTTAGAAGGGAGTGTTCCACGCTCTTTAAAAACCACACTCTGCACACAATCCTGCCCATCACACTCATTCCATTTTGCTTTCAATTTAGGCTCTCCTTCCAATCATCACTTTCCAAAAAGAATTCTGCAAGGTTTTCCTGTGAAGCAGGAATTATTTGTTGACCCACTTCAAAGCTGTAGCATATGAGAAAACGGGAGGCACTTTACCTGTAGATCATTCAGCCCTCTTGAATCAGAATCCGAAGTATCTCTGTATGCCGAACTCGTCAGTTCCACATCTGTTGAGGCACGGCTCCGTTTCTTTAAAGGCTTACAAGAATCTGAAATCTCACTGGCACCTTAACACAACATACTGGAATTAATCGCCGTGATCTCTCATACGTCATTCAGCATTGAAGGAGAGATTGATGTTGGCACAGGGTCAATGACCAAAGCCCACACTCTCATTCAAAGCTTTTAAAATTTTCACACAATAATAATAATAATAATAATAATAATAATAATAATAATAATAACTTTATTTATACCCTGCCACCATCTCCCCAAAGGACTCGGAATGGCTTACATGAGGCCAAGCCCAACAACACGTTAGTAAACAACAAGCAGTAATATGCTCTCTACGTGGGGTTGCCTCTGAAGACTGCCCGGAAGCTACAACTAGTCCAATGAGCGGCAGTCAGACTACTAATGGGAGCGGGGTACAGGGAGCATACGACTCCTCTGTTGCGCCAGCTCCACTGGCTGCCAGTCAGCTTCCGAGCACAATTCAAAGTGCTGGTGTTAACCTATAAAGCCCTAAACGACTCTGGCCCAATTTACCTGTCTGAATGTATCCTCCCCTATGAGCCATCAAGATTACTAAGATAGTCTGGAGGGACCCTGCTCTCGATCCCACCGGCCTCACAGGCGCGTCTGGTAGGGACGAGAGACAGGGCCTTCTCGGTGGTGGCCCCTCGACTCTAGAATCCCGATTGGATTACTGCAACGCACTCTACGTGGGGTTGCCTTTGAAGACTGCTCGGAAACTCCAACTGGTCCAGCGGGAGGCAGCCAGATTGCTTACCGGAGCGACATACAGGGAGCACACCACCCCCCTGTTGTGTCAGCTCCACTGGCTGCCGATCCAATTCCGAGCACAATTCAAAGTGCTGGTTTTGACCTACAAAACCCTATACGGTTCCGGCCCAGTGTATCTGTCTGAACGGATCTCCCTCTACGTCCCACCCCGGAGCCTAAGATCTTCTGGGGAGGCCCTGCTCTCGACCCCGCCTCTATCACAAGTGAGATTGGCGGGGACGAGGAGCAGGGCCTTCTCGGTGGTGGCCCCCCACCTGTGGAATTCACTCCCCGGGGAGATTAGATCGGCAACGTCTCTTCTTTCATTGAGGAAAAAGTTGAAAACCTGGATATGGGACCAGGCATTTGGACACCCTGGCAGCTAAAGAAAGACCTGATGACGAGCTGGAATTTGACGAGACGGAATGGATTTACGAAACTCCGAACGCTGAGCTCAGGATTAGTCTACTATTGTGTTATTGTATTGTTGTGTATTGATGATTTTAATTTTTAATTTGTAACTGTTTAATTTGTTTATATATGTATGTATATGTGACAAAGGCATCGAATTGTGCCTTCCTCTGTAAGCCGCCCTGAGTCCCCCCCTGGGGGTGAGAAGGGCGGGGTAAAAGTGACGAAAATAAATAAATAAATAAATAAATAAATAGAACTCCTGGAGATCAGAACTGCCCCTTCGATCTTAACGTTCAGGAAACAGGTGAAAACCTGGCTTTGGGGATTGGCATTCAACGAATGAGCCATGATCCTGTGATATGGATGGATGACGACGAATAATGACTTTGATGACGACTGACCACTGTAATCATATGATTGTATTTTTGCCATTTTAATTGTTTCAATGTTTTAATGTTTTAGTGTGATTTAGAAATATGATGTTTTAATGACAATCTGTAATATTGATGTTGGAAACCGGCCTGAGTCCCTCGAATGGAGGTGAGAAGACCGGTATACAAAACTGCTAAATAATAAATAAATAAATAAATAAATAAATAACAAGCAATAAACAAAATAAACAATACAATTAATATAACTCACAAGTAGACAATAAACACTAGAATTTAAAAACCTATGGCTGGGGCAAATGGAATAGTTAAAACTTTAAAAAATAAATGCTGGACATGAACAGAGGGTGTCTCTATTTGGAGGGTTTTAAATCAAAAGTAGAGAGGTAATTAAATACTTTGCTTCTCAAAGTATTTGCAGGGCATTGTTTCCTTTATTCAGGGAAGGCACACTGGAACAGCCACGTTTTCAGGCTCCTCCTAAAGACTGCCAATATGGGGGCTTGCCTGAGATCCTTGGGGAGTGAGTTCCAGAGTTGGGGGGCCACCACCAAGAAGGCCCTCTCCCTTGTCCCCACTAATCGCGCCTGCGATGGAGGTGGGAGCACGAGCAGGGCCTCTCCAGATGAACAAAGAGATTGTCTGGGTTCGTACACAGAAATGCGGTCACGCAAGTAGGCGAGTCCCACACGGTTCAGGGCTTTGTAGGTCAAAACCTGCACCTTGAATTGGGATCGGAAAATGAACAGCAGCCAATGGAGCTCCTTAAACAGGAGGGTTGACCGCTCCCTGTAAGTCGCCTCAGTAAGTAGCCTAGCTGCCACCCACTGGACCAATTGACATTTCCGAGCCGTCTTCAAGGGCAGCCCCACATAGAGTGCATTACAGTAATCCAATCTGGAGGTGACTAAGGCATGGACCACCCTGGCCAGATCAGACTTCAAGAGGTGCGGTCGCAGTTGGTGCACGAGTCTTAATTGTGCGAAGGCCCTCCCGGCTACCACCGATGCCTGAGCTTCGAGCGTAAGTGATGAGTCCAGGAGGACACCCAAACTGCAGACCTGTGACTTCAAGGGGAGTGCAACCCCATCAAGCACAGGTTGCCACCCTATACCCTGATATGGTTTACAATTGGCCAGGAGGACCTCTGTCTTGTCGAGATTGATCCTCAGCTTGTTCGTCCTCATCCAGACAGCCACAGTGGCCAGGCACTCAGCCAGCACCCGAGGGGCTTCCTTCAAATTAGGTGGAAAAGAGTAGTAGAGTTGGGCGTCATCTGCGTAGAGATGGCATCCAACTCCAAAACTCCGGATGACCTCACCCAGTGGTTTCATGTAGATGTTGAAAAGCATGAGGGACAGAATGGAACCTTGCAGGACCCCACAGGTCAAAGGCCAGAGGTCCGAGCAGGCGTCCCCCAGCTGCACCATCTGGGAATCCAGTCATTTACAGAGGTTTTGAAAATGGTAGTCTTTGAGCACTGCAGAAATATTGTCTATGCACTGGAGAAGAATTATTTCACTCTTAACATCCCATTTTCCAAAACAAACTTATTCCAAGCCTGCTTTTAATATTTTAATATATGCACTGATTATGTTGAAATCATAAAGCATGTCAACATAAACAGTTTTCACAACATACCTAGAAACTAAGAGTTTTTATATTTATTGCAGAGATCCGTTCTCTCTCACAAAGGCAAAAAGCAATGGGCACTGGACACACAATTGTCTTTACATGGTGCTTATGTATACACTGCGGGAGACCAAGAACATTATTTCAATTGCTGCAAGTAATGATGATGATACATATGGATGAGAGTGACAGCCTTCTCCCTGCCTATCCCATGACATTAATTAATACAGATTGGAAGCTAGGCAGAACAGCTGTTCAGCAGTGGAACTCTCTGCCCTGGTGTGTAGTGGAGTCTCCTTCTTTGGAGGCTCTTAAACAGAGGCTGGGTGGCCGTCTGTCAGGGGTGTTTTGAATGTGATTTTCCTGCTTCTTGGCAGAAAAGAGTTGGACTGGATGGCCCACGAGGTCTCTTCCAACTCTAGGATTCTATGAAATGCCAGATGAATTATGACAAGAAAAATTCCTATACTGCACTGATGTATGTTTACTAAAATGTATAGAAGGCAGTGAATTTTCAGAATCGAGAAAGACAAGTGACCATTTCCTATTTGTTTACATAACATGGAAAAGCAGGGATGAGTAAGAATTAATTGGCTAGTCACCAGGAGTGTAATAATAATAATAATAATAATAATAATAATAATAAGCACAAGCCAGTCAAGGTGGTCCCAGTGGTGATCAGCGCACTGGGTGCAGTGCCTAAAGATCTTGGTCTGCACTTAAATAATAATAATAATATTATTAAAACTTTATTTGTATGCCGCTCCATCTCCCCGTGGGGACTCAGAGCGGTTCCCAGGTAACATCACAAAACATACAAGGTAAAAAACAACACAACCATAAGATTAACTAAACATGGTCACCATAACACATATATTAAAAGTAATCCTGCCTGTTCAAGGCAATGTCAAAATGTAAAAGGCCGGGCCAAGATTTGTGCAAGCCCAAAAATTCTCGGGGCCCCGGGAATGAAGTGCAATGTTATGGCAGGCAACAATAACATTGGGTTCGGGTCTGTGGCTGTTCATTCCGGGACTGATTAGAGGAAGTGATCTGGGTAACTGGTAAGAAGAATAAGGCCATATTCGACAATGTGTAGGGCTGAGTTAGAACTGGCCATTTTCAAAGACTTGTTGAAACCACCAGGTCTTCAAGCTCTTACGAAAGGAGGAGAGGGATGGGGCCTGTCTTATTTCCCTTGGAAGGGCATTCCAGAGGCGGGGGGCCACCACTGAGAAGGCCCTCTCTCTCGTCCCCACCAACCGCGCTTGAGATGGTAGTGGGACCGAGAGGAGGGCCTCCCCGGGAGGGCGGACTGGACCGCGCGTGGTCCGGAGTGCACTTGCTCCGTGGGGCCCCGGTCGGCCGGCTCGGCGGACCCTCTCCTCGCCCCGGTCCAGGGGGGGTCCCCTAGCCAAGAGGGGAGGGATGGGGCCTGTCTTATTTCCCTTGGAAGGGCGTTCCAGAGGAGGGGGTCCACCACCGAGAAGGCCCTCTCTCTCGTCCCCACCAATTCAGTGCTGGTCTTGACCTATAAAACCCTATACGGCTCCGGTCCAGCGTACCTGTCCGAACGTATCTCCTTCTACGTCCCACCTCGGAGCTTAAGATCGTCTGGGGAGGCCCTGCTCTCGGCCCCGCCTTTGTCTCAAACACGCTTGGCGGGGACGAGGGACAGGGCCTTCTCGGTGGTGGCCCCCTCGCCTGTGGAATTTGCTCCCCGGGGAAATTAGGTCATCGTCATCCCTCCTCACCTTTAGAAAAAAGGTTAAAACATGGCTGTGGGACCAGGCCTTCGGGCAATCAGGTTAAAGGACAATTGATAATGTTTGACTATGGCATGGAAGAGGATTTGGATAAGTTAAGCAGAGTAATCATTAGTAGATGGCTAGCTAAACAGCCACCAGACGGGCAATAGCTAATCAGAGTGTAAGTATACTGTTTTAATCTTTATTTATTAATGTTCATGTTTAATTGTTATATTTGTTATTTTGTATTTTATGATGTGGCATTGAATTATTGCCAATTGTAAGCCACCCTGAGTCCCCCCCCCCCCGGGGTTGAGAAGGGCAGGGTAGAAATGTTTGAAAATAAATAAATAAACCGCGCTTGAGACAGTAGTGGGACCGAGTGGAGGGCCTCCCTGGAAGATCTTAGAGCTCATGCTGGTTCATAGAAGGAGATGCGATCGCGGAGATAGGTGGGGCCCAAACCGTTTAAACACAATGAGCGCTGACAAAATTACCACCTGCCAGTTGCAAAAGGCCACCTTACTGGGATCTGCACTCATTATTTGCCAATCTATCACACAGTCCTAGACACTTGGGAAGTGTCCAATGTGTGATCCAATACAACAGCCAGCAGAGTGTCTGCTGTGGACTCATCTTGTGTTTTAAATAATAATAATAGTAATAGTAATAGTAATAATAATAATAATAATTTATTTGACCAGTCATATGACCATTACAAAATAGAACACGAGTAAAAAAAAAAAAACAAGGCAAAAAGGTGAGGGCAGCAGCTGACCTATTTACAGTCAGAGTCTTATTTTCCTGGTTCTTATTTTCCAGGAGTGTTTGTTTACAAGCAGCAAAGCTCACCTTTCTGTAATCCCGTCTTCATTGCTGTCTGTGGGGCTGTTTCTACCTATTTGGACAGGAAAACAAGTTGTTAATAATGGAATTTCCTGTTCCCTAGTTTTTTTAAAAAAAGGAAATTGATTTTCAATGCAAGCAAATAGCATTTTGGGATTCTTGTGGTCAATCCCTCCCACCATCCCTCCCCTCCGCCCCCAGCTAGAAAATCCAGCTCTGCCTCTGAAGGGTTTCTCGGAGGATGCCTTCCCCTGAATCAGGCGACAAGGCAGGTGTGTGCTTTGTTTGCTCCCCTATTTTGTGCCCTAAGTGACAGAGGGTGGCTTCACCTTTGGTCCAAGGAGCAGGCAAGAGGTTTAGCAACTAGGAGCTACGCCTCGGGCTACAGAAAAGCCTCACAGTTGCTAAAGAAAGGAGAGAGAAGCAGGGCACTCAAGGTCCACGTGACACTTAACTTACTGCCTCGCTTGAGCTCCGGAGGCCATTGGCTATTCCTCTGTATAGAGTGCTGCAAAGGTAGAAGAGGGGCGGAGGAGAGAGAAAATGCATTGCAGGCCTCTATACAGCTGGAAACACAATGTCGGACACAGGGCTTGGGTTGACAAGATGGTGGCCTTGAGAAAGCACCTCGTGGCACTTGTGGTCAGTGTCTCGGATCCTATATAGGAAGGCGGTTTTCTGCCAGGGCACACCCAAAATTGTGAATTTGGTAGTTGCAAGCAGCCTTTTTTTGTATTATTTGTGGTTAATGTCTTGCTCTTAAGCAAAAAAAACCATAATTTGAATATAGTGCGGTTACATATTCATGTAAGAAACGCGTCTCGTAAATATTTATGAAGGATTATTCTATAATGTTTTAAAAATAATTTTATTTCATTGTACAATGGATAAAAACATACAATAGAAGGATTTGCCGAGGATACAATTGATAATACAAATATAAAATCTAGACAATCACTTATATTGCGCTACCACTCACGGCAACAGAATTAACATATTATTTTTTTTACTCTCAGTTTATACTTAAAATTCCAGTTATAATTTTTTTAAAACCCAAAAGGACGCAGAATTAATTTGGAAATTCACTGAAAACAAAGCTCACCTCTGGGAACAAATAGGGCGGCAGAGTTCTCAAATATCAGAACGCCTTTCTCTGAACATAGAACATATCCAAGCTTATGCATTACAGAGCTTCTCTGACCATTAAGCCTCCTGCCATATGCTTTTCCTGAAGAACATCAGCACAATATACTATGTCGTTTTGATTAGCTTACATAGTATAAAGCAAGCAAGACTACTTGAGAAAAGAGGACAAGTGGCGCTTGGACTGCGGATAAGTGAAAACATATAAATTACTACAGCTTTAGCTCTAAGAGGGAATATTCCAACAATGCAAAGAGGCTTTAAAAATATGTGTACCGTATATACTCGAGTATAAGCCGACCCGAATATGAGCCGAGGCACCTAAGGTTACCACAAAAAAAATGCAGCAGTTACTGGTAAATTTCAAAATAAAAATAGATACCAATAAAAGTACATTAATTGAGGCATCACTAGGATAAATGCTTTTGAATATTTACATAAAACTTTAATTTGAGATAAGACTGTCCAACTCTGGTTAAAGCATTATTCTAACCTTCTTCAGTGTAAATGTGCTTACGTATCCTTCCAACAAACGTAATTTTAACTATACATTTTGGGGGAAATGCTGTGTGTATATGAATAAGGAAAACTGGGAAAGACTGGTACCGAGAGAGGAGGAGAGGAAGGTGCGTGCTGCACGAGAGCAGGAGAGGAAGGAGAGTTAGGCTGCTGTGCGGAGAGGTGAGCGTCCTTACAGAAAGGCATGGGGCTGAAAGAAGCCCTTCTTTCAGCCCCACGCCTGCCCGCCAGGACCAACAGGTATTATCCGAGGGGGGGGGGGGTTCAGCCTAAATAAAGGGCTGAAAAACTAGGTTTATACTCAAATATATACAGCAAGGGTCCTCAAACTTTTTAAACAGAGGGCCAGGTCACAATCCCTCAAACTGTTGGAGGGCCGGATTATAATTTGAAAAAAATATATGAATGAATTCCTCTGCACACTGCACGTATCTTATTTGTAGTGCAAAAAACACTTCAAAACAATACTATAATTAAAATGAAGAACAATTTTAACAAATATAAACTTATTAGTATTTCAATGGGAAGTGTGGGCCTGCTTTTGGCTCATGAGATAGGATTGTTGTTGTTGTTGTTGTGTGCTTTCAAGTTGTTTCAGACTTAGCTTGACCCTGAGAGAGGGCCGGGTAAATGACCTTGGAGGGATGCATCCGGCCCTCGGGCCTTAGTTTGAGGACCCCTGATATACAGTATGTGCATTTGTGTGTGTACATGCTGTTTCCAAATGTTCAAAATGTAATTAGAGAAAAAATTTCAGATTTTTTAAAAAATATATATATATCTGGAGGGGGAGGGGTCATGCTGAAGTCTAATTCGTTCAAGTCAATCATTTTGGAATCCAGGCGCAGAAGTATTTTGACAGCAAAGCAAAAATTGGAAGTCCCTTTAACAGGCCAATTGTCAGGATTGCCGTATCAGCCTGGGACTAGCCTCTTTGGTTCTCTGCCATAAAGAAGGGAGGTGGGCAGAAAGAGGCTAAGTACAGTTGGGGAAGGTAAATAAGACATCTGTATATGAGGGAAATTGTAACTACACTTAACAGACTGTGGGGATAGTGTTTGGCCACTTGGGTGGGAGTTGGGGCTGATCTATCCAGCAGGTTTGAGCAGGGAAGCTTTAGAACTGTCTTTTTAGGATCGTGGAAAGAAGAAATAAAACACTTCTCTCCAGTGTTTCATTGCTGTGAGCTTGATTTTAGCTCCAACATCTTCCAAAGTCTGACACCAATAGTGCAGAAGAGTGAAGGTGTACTTTCCAATAAGAAATCATGTGCCACATGCCATATATACTCAAGTATAAGCCAACCCGAATATAAGCCGAAGCAAGTAATGTTACCACAAAAAAAAATAAAAAATGGGAAAATGTATTGTCTCGCGTATAAGCCGAGGATGGGAAATGCAGCAGCAACGGGTAAATTTCAAAATAAAAATAGATACCCATAAAATTACATTTATTGAGGCATCAGTAAGTTAAATGTGTTTGAATATTTACATAAAACTGTAATTTAAGATAAGACTGTCCAACTCTGATTAAACCATTATTCTAACTTTCTTGTTTACATATCCTTCCAATAATCACCAGAGTTTATTTTAACTAGACATTTTGGGGTAAATGCGGTGTGTATATGAATAAGGAAAAGCGGGAAAGACTGGCTGGCGCTGAGAGAGGAGAGGAAGGCGCGTGTTGTGCTGAGAGAGGAGGGGAGGAAGGAGGGCTGGGTTGCTGTGCAGAGAGGTGAGGGGCCTGGCACCAAGGTGTGGGGCTGAAAGAAGTCCTTAAGATCTTCCGGATATGCCCTTCTCTCACTCCCGCCCCTGTCTCAGGCACGGTTGGTGGGGACGAGAGAGAGGGCCTTCTTGGTGGTGGCCCCCTGTCTCTGGAACTCCCTCCCCTGGGAGATTAGGCTGGCACCCTCCCTAGCCACATTCCATAAGGAATTAAAGACATGGATGTTTCGTCGTGCTTTCAACTGACGACTCCTGTGACAAATGGCCTGTATCATGACTTGAATTGTCATTCAATCTGATTTATTTATTTATTTGAACCGCTTATATTCCGCCCTTCTTCTCACCCCGAAGGGGACTCAGAGCGGAGCACAACATATACATGGGAAACATTCAATGCCTGGATGCAATACATAAACATTAAAAAACATTTATCTAAATATTAAAATACACCATTTAAAATAGCACAATTTAAAACCGTCCTAGCCATCCGCATCAAATCCAGTTGGCCCGGTCATCTTTCCCACGGTCGCTTCATTGCCCTGTCCCGAAAGCTTGGTCCCACAGCCAAGTTTTGACCCTCCTTCTAAAGGACAGGAGGGAGGGGGCCGACCTGATCTCACCAGGAAGGGAGTTCCATAGCCGGGGAGCCATCACCGAGAAGGCCCTATCTCTCGTCCCCACCAATCGCGTCTCTGACAATGGCGGGACAGAAAGCAGGGCCTCCCTGGAGGAGCTTAATCTCCGTGATGGTACGTAGAGGGAGATGCATTTGGACAGGTAATTTGTCCTATATTATATTAACTGATCCTGTTAATTTTCTGTTTCCATGATTTTTCCTATGCCATTATACATTGTCATCTACCTTACTAAACAACTTTATCCTTTAACTAGTTCATGTAGTGGTTTTCCTCCCCCTCTCCAAAATTAGTCTGCTGTTATTGTTGTTGCTAACTTTGTTTTTTGTTATGTTGTTTTATGCTGTTTTCATTGTTATTGCTTTATTTTAATTGTATTCTGCCTAGGCTTGGGCCCCATGAAAGCCGCCCCAAGTCCCTTTGCAGGTTCGCAGCTTGGGAGTGATCCTGGACTCATCGCTGAGCCTGGAACCCCAGGTCTCGGCGGTGGCCGGGAGAGCTTTTGCACAATTAAAACTTGTGCGCCAGTTGCACCTGTACCTTGGGAAGTCTGATCTGGCCACAGTGGTCCACGCTCTTGTTACATCCCGAATAGATTACTGCAACGCACTCTATGTGGGGTTGCCCTTGAAGACTGTTCGGAAACTAATTAGTCCAGCGAGCGGCAGCCAGATTACTCACCGGAGCGTCATACAGGGAGCAGACCACGTCAGCTCCACTGTTACGTCAGCTCCACTGGCTGCCGATCCAGTTCCGAGCACAATTCAAAGTGCTGGTTTTGACTTACAAAACCCTATACGGCTCTGGCCCAGTGTATCTGTCCGAACGCATCTCCTTCTACGTCCTGCCTCGGAGCTTAAGATCTTCTGGGGAGGCCCTGCTCTTGGCCCCAGCTCTATCACAAGTGGGGTTGGTGGGGACGAGCAGGGCCTTCTCAGTGGTGGCCCCTCACTTGTGGAATTCACTCCGGGGGAAATTAGGTCATCAATATCCCTCCTCTCTTTTAGAAGGAAATTAAAAACATGGATTTGGGACCAGGTTTTTGGGTAATCTGGCAGATAGATAAAGGACAAGCGACGACTAGAATTGATGGATTTGACAATGTGGAATTAATTTATGGACTCTGAGCTGGCAAACGTTGAGCACTAGATTGGTTTTTATTGATTATGATGTATGATTATGATATTGATTATGATGTATGATGTATAAATAATTGATTGTTTTAATTATTTTAATTACTGTTTATATATGTTTATTTTTATCTTATTGTTGTGTTGGCATCGAATTGTGCCTTTTGTAAGCCGCCCTGAATCCCTCCTCGGGGGTTGAGAAGGGCGGGGTAGAAGTGCGAGAAATAATAATAATAATAATAATAATAATAATAATAGATGGAGGCGGGGGAGAAAAATTAAGTTTTTCTTCTTCTTTCAGCTCCACGCCTTCTTGCCAGGACCCTCACCCAAGTATAAGCGGAGGGGGGCTTGTTCAGCCTTAAAAAGGGGCTGAAAAATTAGGCTTATTCTTGAGTATATACAGTACTTATGAAAAGTGTCGCCTTAATTTGAAATAACACAACTTTTCCCACGTGATCTAGCTTCTAAAAAAGCTATTGGGGAATGACTGCTCAAAGTGTTGTTCCTCAAGCCAAATTCCCTTTAAATGTAATATTAAAAGCAAATGTAATGATTGTAGACACAGGAAAAAAAAATCTGTCGTACTCTTCTTGGAACCTGTAGAGTCCAGTCTTTATACAACGGCAGCTTGACTGTTCTTCTTCACTGTCAACTGGTTATTTCAAAAAGCAGTGTTTGGTTTTCCTGGATCCATATATATATTTTAAAAAGAGTGCCCTGTATAGATTGCTTCAACTTCTCTTGCTGACTGTTTTTGCCGTGAAAGAAAGACCGAGTCTAAGAAGCCACATTTCAAGAGGAATCAAACCAATCCATCTAACTTTGTTCTGGAAGAGACAAACAACACCAAAAACCTCGATACAGACCGGCAGCTAAACCGAGGATGAGACGAGAAGGAAGCGGATCGCGATTCCAGAGGGAAAAACACGGAAACATAAAACCACTGGGCTCATAACAGAAAGAGCCAAAACAAAAAAGGCATCAGCGTCGTGACGTGGGTCTTGGGTGTCACGGTGTTCCCATTCATTCAAAGCATGGCTGATGCTGAAAGTGATACCAGTTAACAACAAGGTTTACTGAAGGGGGGGGGGGTCACTCTCAGGTAGATAGTCCAAAAGCAAACCCAGGGAGGAAAACGGGGGAACGGGTCGGGGGTGGGGGGGGGGTGACAGGGGGAGAAATGAAAACAAAAGGCATCCATATAAAAGCCACAACAAGTAGGAATACGGTATATTTTAACTCTTTACATGGAGGAAGCCAACCTGCTCCTTTTTGATCTTCTTCTTTGGCACAACTTCAGTGGATTTCTCAGACTCTGAGCGAGTTCTTATTGATCGTCGCTGTTGCTTCTTTTCTACAGAACCTGAGGGAAGAGAAGGGGTTCCATTACAGGAGTCTGCCTCTGTTTCTCTCTCTTGCCTCAATGAGGGGTGGCAGTCAAAATCCAACCAATGCTCCGTTCAGCAAAGGACAAGAGGGATCCTCTCACCTCTGCAGGAGTCTACTGTGTACCATGCAGCTGTGGACAAGAAGTCTCCATAGGGATCACCAAACGCAGCAGCATTGCCCAGACACGCATCAAGGAACATGAAAGGCCCTACAGACTCCTTCAACCAGAGAAGTCAGCCATAGCAGAGCACCTGAGGAACCAGCCTGGACACAGCATATGATTTGAGAACACAGCAATGCTGGACCACTCTCACAACCACCATGTCAGGCTACACAGAGAAGCCATTGAAATACACAAGAAGCATGTGGACAATGTCAACAGAAAGGAGGAAACCATGAACATGAACAAAATTATTATTAGGTTCTTGTGGGTTTTTTCAGGCTATAGGGCCATGTTCTAGAGGCATTTCCCAAGTCAAAAAAGAAGCACCATTAAAGCCTTGGCAGACCGTGCAAAAAGAATCTGCGAAGCCCACCTCCTCCAAGATGAACTGAACCACCTCAACTGGGCTCTCCAGGCCAATGGAGACTCCACCTCAGACATCAGAAGAGCTGCAAGACCACCGAGAAGAAGCCACGAGAGTCAAGACGAAGATCCACCCAGAGGGAAAGTGTTCCTGCCAGACATCAAGGGAACCACTGACCGCAGAGGGAAGCTGATGAGGAAACACAACATACAAACTATCTACAGACCCACCAAGAAAATCCAACAAATGCTACGTTCAGCAAAGGACAAGAGGGATCCGCTCACTTCTGCAGGAGTCTACCGTATACCATGCAGCTGTGGACAAGTCTACAGAGGGACCCCCAAACGCAGCATTGCCCAAACACGAATCAAGGAACATGAAAGGCACTGCAGACTGCTTCAACCAGAGAAATCAGCCATAGCAGAGCACCTGATGAACCAACCTGGACACAGCATATTATTTGAGAACACAGAAATGCTGGACCACTCTCACAACCACCATGTCAGACTACACAGAGAAGCCATTCAAATCCACAAGCATGTGGACAATTTCAACAGAAAGGAGGAAACCATGAAAATGAACCAAATCTGGCTACCAGTATTAAAAAAACTCTAAAATCAAAACAGCAAAACAGAGAGGAAGCAGACAGGGACATCTAATTACCTCTCAACAAAAGTTTGCTCCAGGCACAGTCAGCCCATTGTATGCTAATCAAGATGGTCAGTTGAAACATTCACACCTAGCTCCAGCAGACAAGAGTCCTTTGTCCCACCCTGGTCATTCCACAGATATATAAACCCTTTTTCCTAGTTCCAACAGACCTCACTACCTCTGAGGATGCTTGCCATAGATGCAGGCGAAACGTCAGGAGAAAATGCCTCTAGACCATGGCCATATAGCCCGAAGAAACCTACAACAACCCAAAGTCCTGATTGCTCTACGTTCTTCTTTGGAGCGCACAGACTTGAATGTGCCAACTGGCGGTCTGGATGCAGCCAATACGCACCTCAGTGCTTCAGGGAGAGTCCTGAGTTCGGGAAAAGACCAGCTTTAGTACGAAGATAAAGGGGAAACTATTAAACTCTTCAACTAATAGGAATTGGGGGGTTGCTCTTCAGGTTAACTATCAACTTGTTTAAATTTTGCAAACTATCAAGTAAACCTAGAACACAAATACGAGCTGAATCTTATTTCCTGTTTTGGCATGCCTTTAGTTATTCAAACATTCAATTCACACAAAAGGAGCCACAAAAGCCTAGCATCACAACTGCAATTTCAAGATTTGGAGGTCATCCGTTGGGGACCTCTCCCTGCAGCAACAACTGCCATTCTGGGCCAAAGTGAAGGGGGCCAGTTCCATCTTGTCTCCTGTGCTATGCTTATAATATAATCTATATAAATAAAAATGTAATGTTCATTTGTGGGATTAACATAAGTCAAAAACCACTGGACGAACTGACACGAAATTTGGACACTACACCCCTAACAGGCCAATGAGTGACCATCACTCATAAGACCGCCCCCCCAAAGTGAAAAGGACTTTAAAACCCCAAAAAACTAAATGACAAAAAGCTAAAATGATGACACAGAAAAAGTGGAAGGAAGGGGGAGGGAAAGAATGTGAGAAAGAAAGGAAGAGAGAGAGGGAGAGGGGTGGGAGGGAAATAAAGAAGGAAAGAGAGACGGAAGGAAAGAGGTAGAGAAGGAAGAAAGGAGAAAAAGGGGAAGGAAAAGAAAAAAGTGGGAAGGAAGGAAAGAGGTAGAAAAGGAAGAAGAGAAGGAAAGAAAAAAGGGAAGGAAGGAAAGAGGGAGGGAAGGAAGGAGGGAAAGGAGAGAAAGAGGGAGAGAAAAAGAGAGAAGGAAGGATGGAAGCAAAAACGAAGGAAGGAAGGAAGGAAGGAAGGAAGGAAGGAAGGAAGGAAAGAAGGAAGGAGGGAAAGAGGTAGGGAAGGAAGAAATGAGAGAAAGAAGAAGATAAAGAAAAGAGTGAAGGAAGGAAAGGTAGAGAAGGAAGGAAGGAAAGAAGGAAGAGGAGGAAGAGAGAGAAAGAAGGAGAGAAAGGGAGGGAAGGAAAGAAGAAAGAGAAGAAAAAAGAAGGAAGGAAGGAAGGAAGGAAGGAAGGAAGAAGAAGGAAGGAAGGAGGAAGAGGAGAAGAAGAAAAGAAGGGGGAAGGAAGGAAAGGTAGAGAAGGAAGGAGAGAAGGAAAGAAAAAAAGGGAAGGAAGGAAAGAGGGAGCAAAGGAAGGAGGGAAAGAAGGAAAGAAAGAGGGAGAGATGGTTGGCCACAGAAATGTGTGGCGGGTACAGATAATATAATATAATGTAATGTAATGTAATATAATATAATATATTGCATATACATATAATATTAATAATATTATAATGTAATACAATATAATACTACTACTAATACGATATAATTAAATATTGTATATTACATGTACAATTACTAATAATATTACAATATAATGGTATAGTACAATATAGTAATATATAATACTGATATTGTACGATGCAAATAATATAATATGTTGTGTGTGTATATATATCTTGTAAGTTGCTCTGAGTCCCCTTCAGGGTGGGAAGAGCAGCATATAAATGCTGTAAATTAATTAATTAATAAATATTAAGCACTTTGAAGTCCTATTGTGTCACACAGGGAACACAGCATTGAATAGACACACCACTAAAGTGCAAAACTGAAGATCAAACCATTGGGAGCTGCACTGCTGCCATTCATTTCAGAGCGAGCTGCAGGACACCTATTCAACCTCTGATCTTTGTTCATTTAAAAGACCAGATTAAAATCAGATGCGTTTCACTGATGAATGTTTAAGCTGTGACATTAAACATCTGACCACATTTCGATCAGAGTGGGAGGATGTTTGAGGGAGCTCTTCCATTTGCAAAAGGTCAGCTCGTGTTTGCATCAGTCCATCTGTTACCGGAGAACTGGCTCTTTCCTCCTCTGGATGGAGGATGAACAAAGGGACTGAGCAAGACTCACACTTATTTCTTCTCACAGGAAAAGTCACAGGCCAGGACAACAAACTTTCATATAAACAATGACCAAACTTCAACCCCCAACAGATCTTTGCTGGAGGGGACAACATACGATTTCTTCTCTGACGGCACGCAAGAAATATCTGCTACCATTTCTTTCAAGTATTATAATGACTAGCCGTCCTCTGCCACATGTTGCTGTGGCCCACATGGGGGTTCTGTGTGGGAGGTTTGTCCCAATTCTATCGTTGGTGGGGTTCAGAATGCTCTTTGATTGTAGGTGAACTATAAATCCCAGCAACTACAACTCCCAAATGTCAAGATTCGATTTTTCCCAAACTCTACCAGTGTTCACATTTGGGCATATTGAGTATTCGTGCCAAGTTTGGTCCAGATCCATCATTGTTTGTGTCCACAGTTATCTCTGGATGTAGGTGAACTACAACTCCAAAACTCAAGGTCAATGCCCACCAAACCCTTCCAGTATTTTTCGTTGGTCATGGGAGTTCTGTGTGCCAAGTTTGGTCCAATTCCATCATTGGTAGAGTTCAGAATGCTTTTTGAATGTTGGTGAACTATAAATCCCAGCAACTGCCACTCCCAAATGACAAAAATCAATCCTCCCATCCCAACCCCACCAGTATTCAAATTTGGGTATATTGGGTATTTGTGCCAAATTTGGTCCAGTGAATAAGAATACATCCTGCATATCAGATATTTACATAATGATTCATAAAAGTAGCAAAATTACAATTATGAAGTAGCAATGAAAATAATTTAATGGCTGGGGGTCACCACAACATGAGGAACCGTATTAAGGGGTCGCGGCATTAGGAACGTTGAGAACCACTGTTTTACACTAACATACTACATTACATTTTAGCTACAGATGTGACACTACTGAGCTATGCTTGGCGATGGAGCGCTTTCAAAACACACGCAAGCAGCATTTTGTGCCTTTCACTTGGACCTGAACCCAGGAGTCTCAAACTTTACCTACTTGCCAACCCAGAAGATGTCTCCGGAGATGGCGACCTCTGCGAAGAGGCTCTCTCGTTTCTCTGGCTTGAGACCGAAGTAAGTTTGTCATGCCCCTTGATTATTATTTCTGGTTTGCTTCCTAAACCCTGTAAGAAATGAAAACAAAACAAAAGCAAAACAGTCAGTCATTGCAGTTTGCAAATATCACAGTCGAAAACAACAACCAAGAATGCAGGACTAAGGCTCCAATCTTATGCAGATTTACTTGGGAATAAGTCAAGTCACAGCTCGGTGGAGTTTGCTTTAGAGCGGCCATACTGCCTTATGCTTACCGTATATACTCAAGTATAAGCCGACCCAAATATAAGCTGAGGCGCCTAATGTTACCACAAAAAACTGGGAAAACGTATTGACTTGAGTCTAAGCTTAGGGTGGGAAATACAGCAGCTACTGGTGAATTTCAAATAAAAATAGATACCCATAAAATTACATTAATTGAGGCATCCGTAGGTTCAATGTTTTTGGATATTTACATAAAACTGTAATTTAAGATCCAACTCTGATTGAGCCATTGTTCTAACCTGCTTCAATGTCAATGTGCTTACATATCTCTCCAATAATAATAAAGATAATAAAAAGAAAGTAAATCAGAAATGTAACAATGACAACAGTAATAGAGTAAAATAATAAATGTAATAATAATAATAATAGAGTAAAATAATGGCAATGTAAGAATAGAGTAACATAATAAATTAATAAAAATAATAATAGAGTACATAAATGTAATAATAACAATAACAGAGTAAAATAATAAATTATATAAAATAATAATAAGGCAAAATAATGTAAATATAATAATAATAATAAAGTAAAATAATAAATGTAATAACAATAGAGAAAAAATAATAAATGTAATAATAATAGAGTAAAATAATAAATGTAATAAAAATAATAATAGAGTAAATAAATGTAATAATAACAATAATAGAGTAAAATAATAAATGTTATAAAATAATAATAGGGTAAATTAATGTAAACATAATAATAATAATAGAGTAAAATAATGGGAATGTAAGAATAGAGTAAAATAATAAATGTAATAATAACAATAGAAAAAATAATAAATGTAATAATAATAGAATAAAATAATAAATGTAATAAAAATAATAATAGAGTAAATAATGCAATAATAACAATAATAGAGTAAAATAATAAATGATATAAAATAATAAGGTAAAATAATGTAAATGTAATAATAATAATAATAATAGAGTAAAATAATGGGAATGTAATAATAATAGAGTAAAATAATAAATGTAATAATAACAATAGAGAAAAATAATATATCTAATAATAATAGAATAAAATAATAAATGTAATAAAAATAATAATAGAGTAAATAATGTAATAATCACAATAATAAATAGAGTAAAATAATAAATGTTATAAAAATAATAATAGGGTCAAATAATGTAGTAGTAATAATAATAATAATAATAATAATAATAAAGTGCAATAATTAATGTAATAAATTAAGAATAACAAAGCAAAATAATAAATAACATTAACTCGAGTATAAGCCGAGGGGAGCTTTTTCAGCCTAAAAAAAGGGCTGAAAAACTCGGCTTATTTTCAAATATATACGGTAATCCACTGGCTGCTGTCAACTCTCTGGAGTTTCATGCACAATATTTTTTGCCCTACATGGAGATGTCATGGAATGCAAAGCAACAAATCCTCTGACATCTCTGACCACAGGAAACTGTCTTTATATTGAATCAGACCACCACTCTTAGTTTTGTCTATATTAGGGAAAGGGAACTTGTAGGCCTCTAAATGTTGTTAGATTTGAACTCCCACCATCCCCATACAGCCCCACTACAGCAGCAGTTGTGGGCCTGCAACAGGCCTAGCGGCATCTCTTTAAGGTCCCAATGAAGCAGGAGCTTTCATTATTATCCAACGAGGAGGTGCCAGGGATTGAACCTGGGACCTTCTGCTCCCCAAAGCAGTGCTCTACCTGCCGGCCACAACCTCTTGGAGCCAGAGAAGCCATGTTCAGGACTGAATTTAAAGCTTTTTTTATTCACTGCACATTTATTATGCCCTGTAGAGAAATACACACGTCTTTACCTTGGTCGAGTAAACAAACTGATCAATGAACTTTCCATTCCCAGCAGCATTCTGAAGAGCAAAAACTTGTTCAATTTTAACAACTGGAGACATATTACATTTCTGAAGGTCCAAGGTGCCCTGGTGCATGGTTATGGAGGCCGGTAAGGATTTCCTGGCCGCAGCGGTCTTCCACGCTATTTTCACCGGAGGCGGCTCTTCTTCCACACTGGATTGCCGCCTCTGACTGTGCCTCCGCACCTCGATATTGGACGGAGAGGAAGCTGGAGAAGGCTCGCTGGCCGGTTCTGGCTGGGGGCTAGGCGATGGCTTCGAGCGCCGGTTCTTTCTAGCCTCCATCTTTGGCACAACAGTCCTCCTGGTCTTTGACAGAGTTTCCTCGGGCTCTTTATCGACGTAGATGAAGGTGTACTGTTCTATCCTCTCCTCCCGGCTCATTTTCAACGCTTTCTCAGCATGGGCAATGCCAATATCCCACTGCGCCCGCTCTCTCTGTGGCCTTGGTTTGCGGATCTTAGGGAGAAAGAAGAGAGGATGATTGAAGAGAGGAGGAGGAGATGGTAATACAGTAGTCTCGCTTATACGACATAAACAGGCAAGCAGAACATCGGTTAAGGAAAATGTGGGATAATACGGAGTCTCCTACTATTACCCATATGATGCGGCACTAGACACCTAGAACGTCTTTACACTTGGTCGAGTAAACAAACTGATCAATGAACTTTCCATTCCCAGCAGCGCTCTTGTTACATCCCAGATAGATTACTGCAACGCACTTTGAAGGGTTGCCTTTGAAGACTGTTCGGAAACTCCAACTAGTCCAGCGGGAGGCAGCCAGACTGCTCACCGGAGCGTCATACAGGGAGAATACCACCCCCCTGTTGTGTCAGCTCCACTGGCTGCCGATCCAGTTCCGAGCACAATTCAAAGTGCTGGTTTTGACCTACAAAACCCTATACGGTTCCGGCCCAGCGTATCTGTCCGAATGGATCTCCCTCTACGTCCCACCTCGGAGTTTAAGATCCTCTGGGGAGGCCCTGCTCTCGGCCCCGCCTCTGTCACAAGTGAGATTGGCGGGGACGAGGAGCAGGGCCTTCTCAGTGGTGGCCCCTCACCTATGGAATTCACTCCCCAGGGAAATTAGATCAGCGACATCCCTCCTTTCCTTTAGAAAGAAATTAAAAACATGGATGTGGGACCAGGCGTTTGGGCAATCTGGCAGATAAATAAAGGACTGCGACGACGGATAGGAATAGACAATGTGGACGCTGTGCTTGAGATTGGCTTTTGACTGTGATATATATTGTTGTTTTAATTGTTATAACTGTTTAACTGCTGTTTTTATACGTTTATTGTATTATTGTGTAGGCTTCGAATTGTGCCAATTTGTAAGCCGCCCTGAGTCCCCCCTCGGGGGTTGAGAAGGGCAGGGTAGAAGTATACAAAATAAATAAAGAAATAATAGAACGCCAACTACAGGGACTTAAAGGCTTCAGGCAAGACAACGTCTCGGGATGAGAGCGGGCCAGCAGGATGCAGAAGAGGATGCGGAAGAGGAGCATGGAAATCACAGAGGGAAGGAGGGAGGACGCTTCCGCTTCCGGTCTTGCCCCTTTCCCCCCTCTTCCTTGTCTTGCCTTTCCCCCTTATTGGGAAAGGAGAGAGAGTTTGGGAGTGCTCCTATAATTGAAGGGGAAATGCTTCAGGAAAAGGGTAGCATCAGAGAAGAGTGTTGGATAAGACGGAATGTCGGATGAGCCAAGGTCAGATAAGTGAGACTCTATTGTACTACCATTATACCTCTGTTACCATCTGTATCTGTCCCCTGTTTGCCCCACCAACTCAACAGGCATCTTGAGCAATGATCCATGCTTCCAAAGAACTGGAAAATCCATGTTTGATGTTTTGTCTTTAATTGAGGGGGAAATATAATGAATTCTTGTCCCAGCATTGAATGTTTGCGGTATGTATGCTGTACTCCACCCTGAGTCCCCTTCGGGGTGAAAAGAGTGCAATGTCAGTGTTTTAAATCAGGGCTCCTCAAACTTTTTGAACTGAGGGCCAGGTCACAGTCCCTCAAACTGTTGGAGTGCCGGATAACAATTTGAAAAAAAATGAATTAATTCCTATGCACACTGCACATATCTTATTTGTAGTGCAAAAAAAACCACTTAAAAACAATGCAATAATTAAAATGAAGAACAATTTTAATAAATATAAACTTATTAGTATTTCAGTGAGAAGTGTGGACCTGCTTTTGGGTGATGAGATAAGATTGTTGTGTGTTTTCAAGTATTTTCAGACTTAGATTGACCCTGAGCGAGGGCCTGGTAAATGACCTTGGAGGGCCGTATCCGGCCCCCAGGCCTTAGTTTGAGGACCCCTGTTTTAAATAAATAAATAAATAAATAAATAATAATGTCTGATATAACATGTTGCGTTTTTTATTTCATTTTAGTTGTTAAGTAATAATTTGTTTTTATATGTTGGGTTGTCAATTTTTGTTATTATGGGTGTATTGTTGTTGTGTTTGGGGATTGGAACCGGAAGTCCCCCATGCTGTTTAATATCTACATGAAGCCGTTGGGTGAGATCATCCGGAGTTTCGGGGTGCGGTGTCATCTGTACGCAGATGAAACAAAAAAAAGGATTGAAAAAATAAGAGAATTAATATTAAAGAAGTTTTTAAAATAAAAATAAAACTATGGTGTATTCAAGGTTGCAGTCAAGAAAACATTTCAAGATGAATAGATCAAGAAGTTTGAAACTTGGGTGGCTGTGAATGGAAGAGATAAGGTGAGTCATCTGAACGCAGATGAGTTGTACCAGGGAGCTTCTCGTCAGCGGACTTTTCCTACACTAATCGTGTACGTAAAGGAGGCGGGGTCGGGGACAAGATGTTCGAA